CTCAAGCCAGTGAACTGTTACAATCCTAAAGGCTAAGCAAGGTGATACCTTTAACTGTATTACAATCGGGCAACTTAAGAAAAACTTTGATGCAAAACAAAGCGATTAGCGCTTCTTTCACAGAAGTCTCAAAGTTTCAGTGGCTGCAGTGCAGCATCCTCACTGGAACCAACTAGATGTTATTGCAAGAGACCACTATTTAAACAGAGACATTTGTTCTTCCTCTCCTCATGATGCTATCTTATCACAGTCCGAGTGTTTTATATCAGCACACTGAAATTATGTGTAATGAACAAGGATGGTTCAAGATAAAGTCTAAGAGTTACAAAGCAAATGCTTCCTTTCTCTCTAAACAATATGACTGAACCCACTTCTTGAAGAAATGAAGCTATATTTATATTCACCCTCTTGAAATGCTACAGGCAGCCATAGAAGGATAAGTTTATAATAAATTGCTATATTTGGAAACCTTTGTTGCTAAGCATCTTCTAACATTCAGTACAGTTTATACCATTCATGTCCCTGCTACATAATTAACATTTCATATGTTTTTCCAAAAAAAAAGTGCAGTGCTTATCTTTGTCGTTAAATTAAAACCATTATAATTTTTTAGAGAATGAATAAAAGCCTGTGTGGCCAATTAATTAAAGCAGAAGCAACAAGATCTCAGGGGCATACAAACAGTGACATTATATATAAGGATATGGCAGAGTCGATCTTCTAGACACTGACTCTGCTTGAGATAAAACAATTTGGAAGGCAGCTGTTCACACTAAAAGGTAGTCTACTACATAATTTAGGACACAGTAGACCTTTCGAAGTCTTAAGAACATGACTTCTCAGCTGCGCACATAACTAAGCCTTTTTCTTGTCAAGAATTCTGGGCATGTGAATCCCTCAGAGGGTACTCCAGTCTTCCAGAGCCTACCACGAGGAGCCCGTTGCAAGCTGATGTCCACAGGATACGGTCCAGTGCCCACCAAAGTATTTGCAGGTTTTCCATACTATGCTGTTAACCTATACAAAAGCATGCACGTAATGGTGGAAATCACAAGCATATTGCTAGGCAGTAGAGAATCACAGCAAATCCCACTTTCTCCAATGTAGTCACTACAGATAATGTAACCTTGAACAGAGATGAGGTACGCTAATTCTGAAAGCATTGCACCTAAGGTAGTGATACTTGCCATGTTAGAAATACCAGTTTTAATTTTGCTGGAATGACCAAGTTATTTGTAAAACAGGCAAATAATGCTTGCTTAACATGTGAGAGGGGATACGAGTACTCTGCGCAACAATCAAGGCTGATAAACATACAGAGCTGATGCCTGTCACCCTGTTGTCAACTCTTGCAACAGTACTGTAAGCTTCACGATACCTAGCATTTTTCCTAGAAAGTCCCAAAATTTTGTGGTTTCATTTTGTGGGAAGCTAGAACTGTACCTTTAGTAGCGGAAAAGAAGGTATTGGAAGAAAAAACCACTATTTTAAAAAAATCAGCAGATCAAATAAAAACCCTCTTAACTGATTATTATATCCATCTATATATAAGTATTTCACAGGTGTTTGGTCATAACACTGTTTGGAAAAGAGCAGAGCACACTGTACAGGTTCTCCAGGTTTCTTGTCCACCTTTCCTCTCCTTGCCCATTCCAGCATAGATGACACCGCAATTCTGTACACACTACGCACACAGGGGCCTAGAAACATTCAGCACAAGCTGAACGTTAAAGGCTCCTAAAACTTCCTAATGACTTCCATGAAAATGCACAGAGTTGCTGAACAGAATAGAAAACTTGCCTGTCTGACCCCAGAAGCACCACTAAGCAATTCTTGCACCGGAGAACAAATAACTTCTGCCAAGTAAAGAGTTGGAATATGTTTAACTCTACAATAGCTATTGACTTTTCATTAACACATGTTCTTCAGAATTATATAGAAGAAAAACATCAAAGCTTTTATAATGAAGTATCTTAGGAAGCCTAACTATAGATGCAAAAGTGAAAGGTTTGCCTATCATAGCCCTACAATTACTACATTTACTGTCTTACGTTAATTACTACACCCTTGGTTTATATAAGCAGTATATGCACAATATTATACACGCACAGAGTTGAAGTATAAAGATAAGGAAGGATGAGTCCTTTGGAAATGATCTAAACTTTGTATTAAGAATATAAACATATTTAGCTTGTAAACTTCTGGGCTTTCCAGCCACAAATGAAGTACCTAAAGATATAAATGGGGTAACTAGGACTCAAGAGCCTTCCAAAGACCACTTCTGCAATACGAGTAGCAAGTGACAACAATCTTGTACCAAGAACTAAACATGTATTTCTGAGTTCAGAATTCCTGCTTCTAAATTAGTTTCCATGTTTCACCTGTATTTACACACATATCATGTGTGAAAGTGGCACAAGTAACCTTAAAATTTGTGAAAGAACTCTCAACTCAGATATTGCCTGAATATTAAGCATTTTGATTATTTAGAAATGGACACCAGCAGTCTTAACTATATGTTTATATCATGTTTTATGTTGTAATATATACGAAATACTACGTTCAGTTCTGAGCCCTACATTACCAAAAGGTTATTGACAAACTGGAGGGAGTTCAGAGAAAACCAACACAATTTCTCAGAAGGCAGGAAGGACTTATTTATGAGGAAAGATTAATAGAGCTAAATATTTATAGTTTGGCTCAGTAATGAATGAGGAGGTAGGGGACATGAGAACAGCCTAGAGATATCTAAAGGGTGTAAACATTAAGGAGGGAGAGTGAACGTGTTACACAAGGATGTAAATAGAAATAATGGGATAAAACTAAACAAGGAAAACTTAGGCTCAGTATCAGAGAGCATTCCTGGACAGCAAGCTGTCTTGGCCCGCAGCACAGTTTCTTAAGTGAAGCAATAGAAGCCCATTGCTTGGAAAACAAACAAGACCAGACAAAACACTGGAAAATTTGCCATATGGAATAACCTTGCTCTGCTGAGGAGAAATACTACCTCATAAAAGCTAGTCTTGTCTAAGTTTAACCCCAGTGAAAGCAGTAATATTTTACAAGGTGTTGAAAATTTAATATAAAAAAAAATAGCTATCAACAGCTTAATCAGAAAAAAAGAATCCAACTAAGAACGTTCCTTTAACCACAAGCAACTTAAATTCAGTTTATGTAATACTTCAACCGAATCATGTTTCTGCAACACTTTGAAAAGGAAAAATACATGTGGGGTGCAAAGAGTTAACGGCGCTGGACTGTATTCTCCCCAGCAGAGGTCACTCCAATTTAACAAATGACAAGGAAATTTAAACAGCATGGATTCAGACTTCAGGAAAGATGATCAATAGAAAGGAGACATCCTCCTTCCCTCGTTCCCAGCACCAGCTTTGGATGCAAAGCTCCCAGATAACAGCGTGTCCTGCAATCAGTCGTAGGTAGATGCCAGAAGTTTTGGATCTACATAGCACATAATGTTCAATTTGCACAACATTCAACATTTATTTTCTAAAAGGCCCTCAGGAAGTGGGTAAATATTGCCTATTTGCAGCCGGATTATGAAGTGTCCAAAATCCATGTGCGCATGCACAAGTAAAGCCTAGGCTGGGTCATGTTTAGAATTGAAACCACAACACTTTTCACTGAAAATTTTAGATTACATTAGTTAAGTATTTACTATGCGAGGACTGTGACACAGGCAGACTGACAGGCTTCCAAAAACACAGAGGAAGGAAAATAAAAAGGGAGTTTATCTTTGTTGTTGTTGTTTGTATATATTTGTTTTAAAAAGGATGTTTGCTAAGTTAACACAGGGCTTAAAACACAACCAAAGCCAACAGAAGAGCGCTATAAAAAGAACAGTCTGTGTCCGTACACATTTTTTTCTTTTGATCCATACAAAAGTCCGCAAATCCGTATTCGAGAACTATCCCTTAAAAATTCTAGAAACTGGCAAGCAAAAACCTTGCTGTTCCAGGTGCCATCACCCCTAATAAAACTTCTGTCATCTTCATAGTTAATTCTGATGCAAGAATTAACCGTGCACTGTGCCACTGCCAGAGGAAGCTGTCCCAGTGCCAAAGGAAATAAGAATAACCAGCACATACAGCAAACATATATTTGCGAACTACAAGGGAGCAAATATGCGTAAGCAGAGCTGAAGAGGCGTATTTTGACTAGACTGTTTTAAAAGGCTGCTCATGGGTAGATTTAAGGTCCAACACTTAAACCGTGGAGACGCATTCTAGCAAAATGTAAGAATTGATAGAGCATACTTTTAATATTCATCCAACGAAAACAGAAGTGAACTCATGTTTAGGTATTCCCTAGAACATACTGAACCCTGGCTGCATGATGCGTGGATAATTCTCCAGGGCTATGCCTGTACCGGGGGCCAAGGGACACTTTCCAGCCCCCAGCTCGGGGCGTGCTCTCCAGCTCTCCCAGCTCCACTGCACAACCCGACCCAGGTGCCCTGTCACAAGCTCCTCATCCGCAGGCATAGGAAATACAGAAGGGCATAAAATACAGAAGGGAGCCACAGTAAACACCACTCAGGCCCACAGTCTCAACATCCTGGGAACAAGGACCGGCAGGACAAGCTGTCTAGCCTGCGCGACTTGGGATTTCTGTACGGAAGGGGTAGGCTCTGGAGTAGAAAAACTCTTAGGGATGTGTCAGTTAACTCACTAAACCATTGGTTTACTGAGAGACAGCTTGCTCTCTAATATGGTAGAAATGGCACAGGGGATTCCCGAGTGTTATTAATCTTAACATTCAGTTTTAAAATCTGTTAATATTCAAAGAGTTTTTCTGATCTGCCAGAAGCAGACTGGTGTTCCTCATATTCCATGTTTGGCTATGTTTTCTTTGACACAAAAATGAATTAAATCTCACTGTTTTAAAAGCTATTAGTGCAGATTGCGGATTTTTATTTTTTTAAACAAAACAAAGAGACTAACGCTAAAATAAGATCCTAAATAAGATACACAATATCTTACCTGCTTCCTTGCACAAAGCTGCTAAGTCTGCACCCACATAACCATGTGCACTGTCAGCCAGTTGTGCCAACTCCGCTGCTGTGAGCGAATGGGGAACTTTCTTGAGAAGTTTTTGGAGTATGTCCAGACGGTCTTGGGCATTAGGAATTCCAATTTCTATCTCTTTATCAAAACGTCCAGGTCTGCGCAGTGCTGCATCCAGTGCATGAGGACGATTAGTGGCCCCAAGTACTAAGAGCTGCCCTTCGCTGCCTTCCTGAAGGCATGAACCAATGCAAAATATTAATTTTGAAATACAATTAAATGTCACGCAGCTTATAAACATACTTCTTGCTTACTTTTCCCAACTATTACACACAGTAAAATCCTGATGCTAGCTCTAAAGGCACAAAGCAAACTTTTCAGAATATATACCCCACAAGTGATCCCCCATCCAGCCTATCCCTAATTGCAATTTAGCAAAACAACAGGCTGCACGGGCATACAGGTAATACAAGAGAAACTTTACTCCAAGATGCCCTCATCCCAGTGTCTCCCACTTTGATCCCCAAGAACCTGCTTTCCTATATCAGGAAAGCAAGCACCAAGGAAAGAAAAAGAAGTGTTTAAGCTAAAAGGCAGCGTTGGCACAAGAACAAAAAGCTATCAGCAGACTTTGAATAAACAAGGTTGGGAAACAAATCGTTTAAGGTATCAAAACCAGCAGAGACAAGAGGTTATAAAGCTTCCTGTAGGTTCAGTAGGAAAAACAAGGTCAAAAATCCTAACTGCTTTCCTCAAGCTCTGCTTTTTTTTTAGAGGGAGGCAAAAATCAGCTAGGTCTCTTGTAGTGCCATTCTCTTTTTGTGAACGAAGCACTTTCTCCACGAAGAAAATCCATCAGCCTTTGCCATCAGAAAATACGTTCTGCCTGTGAACAATGCCAGACTAGGCAACTGAAAATACCATGCAGGAAAATAATGAGAAACTTGCAGATTACATAAACAGCAGAAACTCATTTTCATACTGTGGACAGATTTCTTTCAACTTTCCTGCTAATAATCATAAAATAATAGATGAGAGATTGGCAAACTTTATGACTTAATCCGTAATGTACTCAAGTCAATTAAATTTACTGTTTCTTCAGTAGGCTTTTGTTTATGTCTTAAATATTACTACAGCAATCTTGAAATAGCTGTTGTTGCCTTTAATAGTGCAGCCTACATATCACCAGAAGTATTTTGATGACTTTGATTTCAGAGCAATTAAAAATATCTAGCTTAGTTCAATGATGGGCTATCATTGAACATAAAATTTCAGCTTTTTCTCCAAAACTACAAGAGTGGGAGAAGGCAAAGGAAAGACAGAGAATTGAAGAAAACTTACTTTCTTTTAATCTCACATTTGTCAGGAGACATTCCCCTCCTATGTCTTCTGCTTAGCATCCAATAAAGCATTAGATTACTATATAAAGTCTCACCTAAGCCTATTTTCCCCCAAATGACACATCTAAAATTGGCTGCATTATAGAAGTAAAATTAGTTTGTTCAGCTAGTCCCCATACGCATTAATTGTCAATACAGGCTGCTTACTGAGCCAATGCCATCCATTAATGTCAGCAATGAAGCAACAACTCTCTTTTCAACTTCATTCTGAGCCCCTTCTCTCTTTGGGCAGAGTGCATCCAACTCATCTATAAATACAATGGAGGGTCGACTGGGGAAAAAAAAAAGAAAAAAAAAGGAAAAAAATGTTAAGGTGCTCAGGAAGATTTAAAACACCAAGGCAGAGAAGTGCAAAGCTGTTTATGGAAAAAGTCCAGTTCCTACAAAAATTAACAAGCATCCCGCTCCCTTAGGCAACTGAAAGTTTCAACCCAGAGTATGGTGTTACTCAAAGAGATAACTGAAATGACTAATATATTAGACATCTCATACCTTTAGGATGACCTACCAATCTACTCTTCTATGAGTCTCTCCTAAAGGCTTAACACTAAATATACCGATTTCATGAGTAAAAAAGACAGCATTTTGTTTGCCACTTCTACAAATACAGTTTGCAATAGTCTCGTGCTAATGTTTTATGAACACCAAACATCTGGAAGTCTAAAGTCTGCCTTAACCAGGTTTAATAAATTTGGGCAGAATGCCACCCTAATCCAAAGGCATGCTATATCCAGTACCAACACTAGCTCATTTAGAGCTGCCTTCCATGTCTCAGCACAGTACTACATTGGTCTCCAAAGATAAAACTAGACAGAAAAATTTGGATCCAGGTGAAATGCTGGCTCATGCTTCCATCTTTTGAAATAAGTGTACAATACGCTAACGATACAGATCGAGCGATTTGGCACCATCTGTAACAGTCCCTTAAGAAGGGTACTGTCCAAAAGCATTTAATAGGCATACTAGAATTTCACTGCTTTCCTTCTAGCTAAGCTCTATATAAACAAATTTGTTTCCTTTTAAAAACCACTGCAGGAAAAAATTACAATTCAAAGATTCTTGCAAATGTTTTTCTTTTAAGAACATTAACGCTGGAACCAATACCGCAAATAAGTGAGCGCGAATAAAATTATCCAAAAGAACATACCGCAGAGAAGCTTCAGCAAATATCTGGCGTAATCTTGATTCAGACTCCCCATAAAACCTATAATAATTAAAATATTTTAATAAAAAACATTTTTTGGTCTTTTCCAGGCAATTTGGAAAATTACTGCTCATGCGTTCCAAAAAGCCATAGCGCACCCTTTCAAAGTCCTGAAGTATAGTATATGCAAATCTACAATAACCTTTATTTCCATAAAAAATTAAGGTAAAATGGGGCACAGGCAAAGATATAACCATCTTGTAACTAGAAAAAAAAAAATTAAAGGGAAAAGCTTCTCTCTTCTGTGTTAGAAAATTTTATCTACATTTTTAAAGAACAACAAAAAAAAATAGTTCCCTGGAGACATTAATCTGTGCAGTGTCATCTTATTTCAAATATGCTTTAACAAGTCACTCTTCTTGTTGCAGAACTAACTAACTAACACGCAATCGCGGACCCAGTTTTAGTCTCCTCTTTAATTTAGTCCATGCCTTACACAAATCTCTTGGCCAAATCTAATAAACCTCTTTTATTACAAGAAGAAACATAAGCCCTGCTTGAGAGAACCCTTTCCCGTTCGTTTTTGACTCTCTTGGGCAGATAGCCCATAGCCAATTCTACATCTACATCTATCCGCAATGGATAGATGCCAGGACAGATTTTGGGCTAATATATTACAGAATTAATGAAAATAAATTGGGTGGACTTACTTGCTTATTATTTCAGGACCATTAATAACGGTAACATGAGCGCCAACCTCATTTGCAATGGCTTTGGCAATCATAGTCTTCCCGGTACCTGGAGGGCCATATAATAGCACTCCTCTAGGAGGAGGGATTCCTTTAAACAGGCACATGCACACAAACAGAGAAGAAAGTTATTTGCGATAAATGCCAGACTGAAAAACCTACACTTGCACATTTCACTATCCTAGTTACTACCGATTATAACTTGACCTCAGCATTAACTTCTTTAACAGACATATCATTTTGATAAAATTGGAGGCTTTCAGTGGGAAGAGCACTCATATGTATATATATGTATACACACACTATATACATAACACATATCTACATTTTTTACTTTTAAAGTCCAAATTATTCTGTTTAAAAAGCAACTATTTAAATTGTTATATTTTTCAGTAGTTCAACATTATAATTCTCCCTATGCATTGTGGTGTTTGTTTGGGGCTTGTTTCCAAAAAATTATTGGACTGAGTACCTAACGTCCATGAATGTAATTTATTAAGTTATTCATGATTCTTACAGTGTCATTAACACAAATTTCCAACATCAGAAAACCACTTCTTTTCAACACTCCAAAAGATTTCAGAAATACTGTGAGGCTTGATTCAAGAATACTTACAAAAAGATGAAAAATACACATCAAAAGGATAAATTTGCCTCTTTAATGGCAAATGTTAAGAGCCGGAACAGACAGAAACATTCAAGCACAGAACATAAGGGACACTAGAAGAACAAGGTGCTACTGTGTACAGTTAAAACTAGACAGAAACTACAGGTAACTGCATGAAGTAATATTATGATCTCAGGTAGAGAGCCAAAAAAAAAAAAAAAAAAAAAAAAGATGTTTCAGACCAGCAAAGCCAAATTAAACAGGCACAAAGCCTACAACAGAAGGTGAAATATTAGAAAGCAAAAAGAAGAGACAAATGTTTGACAAAGGACTGACCCTGGCACAAAAGACATTGCTGAAACATGACCGAAGAAAAACATCGTTTGGGTACTGTGATGGCAGACAGGGAATGGTGCTTGAAGGGCAGGTCACATCCCAGTGGTGACAGAGAATAATACAGCCGGCATGGACAGAAAGCCCAAATCTTAGGAACTAACATACTCAAAAAGAGAAAACATTATCTGCTAACTGACAGAGGACAGAAATGTAATATAGAAATAAGTGTCTTTACGGACAGGTTACTTCACAACAGTCCATTAAAGCATGTGCTGCTCCCT